ACTCTTTCTGTCTCTCTCTCTCTCAGCGAGATAGTTTTGTCAGTGGCTGACATCACCTACAGGACAAATCCGCCTACTGACCAATCCGCGTTGTTCTATTGCGTTGCTAAATACATCGTATATGCTGCCACAGTGGCAACAACTTGGCAGTTTACATTTTCAGTTGCGCCAAAGTTGACCTGAACAGTGGGTTAATTATGTTGTGATTTGCCGCTTATACTGATTAATACTTGATCACAATAACAGGGAATAGGAACTGCTTTTTTGTGTTAAAACGGGTAACAAGATAGAATTTTGAGAACTGTATATAAATTGAGACATGACGTTTTTGGGTTAAAATCCCCCTATCGCACTTCCCCCTTACTCTCATGTACCCTCTCCTACCCCCGCAGCAGCTCATACAGTCTCCACAGTGCTGCTGTGACGGCTGGATGTGACGGCGAATACGTCAGCATTTAAAATCATCAGCTGTGTCAAGGTGATACGGTGAGGCGATCTTTCTGACCAATCACAGGCCAGCGTTGCCACATTCGATGTTAGCAGTTGTAGTCTGAGGAAATCTGAAGCAGATAGACTCACTTCTTCCGCTGACTCCGTGTGTATTTGTAGAAAATAGTTCACACTGTCACACCACCTTCCAACTAGGGCGATAATAACATTTATCTTTAAACTCTACATTAAAAGTAAACACATCTCTTCCATTTCTCATTTTCAAAATGATTATTACAATACGTAAATTTGACTAGTTTTATTTCTACTCAAAAACAGTAGGAGGGCGAAAAACATACATACAGAACCATGATGAAGAATACAGGAAGTGGAGGCTCTACATTAAAAAAAAGAAGAGAGGAGCTTGTGGTTATAGACTGTAAGGGCTGAGATACTGTATATTGAATTGGAAGAACTAGAACAGGTTTAGAAATAGTACCATTATTAATTATATCTAAACTTCAATGCATATTCTAGACCAGGGGTCTCCAACCTTTTGTTCTCCGAGAGCTACTTTTACAAAGTAAAAATGGCTAAGGGCTGCTTATGTTGTGTTACATTTATTTTCATAGCTCAATTCGAACATATAAACTCAATAAGCTTTTCTTGCTTAAATATTTACAATATGTCAGTGTTTACATATCAAATTTTTATTAAAACATCACATTATTATTTTTTATTGTTATTATTATTAATGTTGTTGTTTGGCAGCGTGGCAGTGCACAAAAACCTGCCATGTACTGAATATCCAGTAATGTTCCTCCATTTTTTCCAAATAACCTGTTTTAATTTATTTTATTTTCTGCAGAATATCGCTGTCTACTGGCCATATATTCCGATATAATATAATATAATCCGACAGCAATTGTTTGGCAATCGTCATGACAGATACTTGTATAAACGCAGCATTGACGCTGTGTGGTAGCGAACTTAGCTTTAGCTTCAGTTACACGGATATTAAACAGTAGCGAAATATACAGTATTTTTTTTTATTCATGTTCCACAAGGGAGGGGTAGCGAAGTGACACGTTTTATGATAGGATTTTATCAAGAAATGCGGCCATTTATTCGATTTTAGCTCCGCTAACAACAAGTTCCGGTCAAAGGTCTGTCTGTACATGAGGCCATGTCAGGGATCTATTTCAATTGATGTGCCATTGCACTTCAGCGATTGGTTGTTTATGTTTGCAATTGCACCTTACAGACAGCAAAGGGCGAGACGAACTGACAAACGTGAAACATAAGCGGACGTGATAGAAAGCGCAGAGTTTGCGCTTATGTTTCACGTTTGTCGGCAAGTATCGCCGTCTGTTGTCTGAAAAGAGCAATTGAATTCATAAACAACCAATCGTTGATGTGCAATGGCACATCAATCGAAATAGAGCCCTTACATGGCTTGATATACAGATAAACTTTTGGCCGGAACTTGTTGTTAGCACATCTAAAACCGAACAACCGACCGGTTTTCTAAATAAAATCCTGTCATAAAATCTGTTACTCAGCTACCCTACCCTTGTGGAACATGAATAAAATAGATATCTTCCGTTACTATATATGTGTAACAATGTTAAACATAGATGTTGTAAACTATGTTTAATATCCGTGTAACTAAAGCTAAAGCTAAGTTCGCTACCACACAGCGTCAATACTGCGTTTATATGTCGTGGCTACTTGTAGAATGCAGTCGATTGTGCTACTTGTGGCCAGTAGACAGCGATATTCTGCAGAAAATAAATAAAAATAAAAACAGCTTATTTAGTCAACATTTAATAAATGCAAAAGAGACCACTATTAAACCCGAGTTTCTTCAAAATAGTATTTCTCTTGCCACTAGATCAGGGATCACTACATTATTTAATTAGTAAAAAATCTTACACTTTTGTGTATTTGTCATACTTTCCTTTACTCTCACGTCATCTTTCAACAACGAATTGACTAAAAAACCCCTGTGAAAAAGAAAAATATATACTATTTTGAGGAACAGAGGGAAGTCTTGGAGAGTTTGATTGTGGCAAAAATCATAATCACAATTATTCAAAACAATTATTGACTGGTTTGGGAGTTTGCTATTCTGCTATTAAACTTTAAACCTTAATGTACATATAAAGTAACAAAAATAAATTAATGTGACAAAATATAAATAATATTGTCTAGACATAACCCATAATGCAACGTTTAAATACTATCACTGGTTGCCCATCTTGGCCCCTCCACATACACACACTGTCCCCATATCACTCTCCAGTGTCACTGGAATCTCTGAGGATAAATGAGCCACCCAGCTGCCCTACCCGACATGTTTTCTAAGAACATGCTGTTTTACTAAGAAGACGTACTAACCCAATGTTCTCTGGACATAAACAGCAAATGTTTACACTCAAAGAACAATGTGACACATGATAAGTGTTAGGACCTCTTAGTCATTTATTTTCAGAAAAGTACATAACATTCTTTTTCTTTGTCCAGAGCTATTAAGTTTGTTTTTCACTCATCTTTCATGTGCACATTTATTTGACACCGGGAGGTTAATGTTTCGTGCACACAGATGATATCAGAAGGTATGTTCTAATCTAGCAGATTTGTTCACTTCAAGTCACTGACAGAAGCTCTGACAGTGACCATTATCGTTCTGAAAATATTTATCACAATGTTTACTGACTTCTTACAACTAAAAAAAAAAAGGATATACACAAAATATACACAAAAATAATTCTCTGTAGGTATAATTTGGTCATATTTACTGGCAGGGTTTATATCAAAACCTCATATAATAAGGTTTGTTCAGACCATTCTGACCTCAAGTCTGGATACTTAGCCAAACAGTTGGAACTGCCAATTTTTAAATACTCTCTGTCCATTACTAGGGCAACTGAGCATTAGTGGCTGGTTAAATATTCTCTTGCACATAAGTACATAGCCTCGTACTGTGGACTTTGAAAGGAAAATCAAGATTTGGCTTTGAGAACATTGATCAACAAATATAACACATTTGGGCATTAACAGTGTGTGTTTCCATGTTGCAAGATTGTGTTTGACAAATGTGTTATTTTAATTCTAGTGTAGACCATTACAGCTGCTTTCAACACTTTCTTTTTCTTCTTTCACATTTCTTCCAGGGCAGCTCATCTTACTAGGATTTTGCAAGATATCTTAGGCCTTGATGTGTTTGTTTGTACTAGTTTAAAATGTGTCTGACATGTTTATTACATTAAGTAAAAAAGGAAATATACATGTTTGTCATGAAATAATCTTTAGTCTTGGCCTCATTTTAACTGAGAACTGGAACATTTAAGTTTGCATACCGTTGTCTATTCAGACCAGATGCTTGTACGAACCTAATCTTGGAATGTACATATTTTTGTACTGATTTAGTTTTTTTCATGTCAAATATTTGCCCCTATATTTCACATTTTTCAGTTTTGGTTCCAGACATTCAGGAGATTTAAAATTCACTTTACCCAACTCCAGGTGGTGTCATGGACATCCTGCTCAACCGTCTCATCCAACTCTTCATCTTCTTCTGCTGATGTCATGATTCCATAATGTGTTAAATACCGTCTGTAGAACTTGTGGCCCTATGCAACCCCTGAGATGCTGAGTTACGATGAAAGTCTATAAAATCCTGCTCTAGTTAAGAAGCTGTGTCTTCACTCCTGGAGCACATTTAGTGTCTGACTCTTGTGTACAAGTGGGCAGCATCTTACTAAATTTACCTGGACTCTCGGGTCAGGAAACCTGAGACAGTCCTGAAGAGGTCATCATTCACCAGACCCTCTGACTTCCATTACATTTAAGGAGTGGGATATTTGTTTGACAGGACATGATTTGAATGTTTTTTCTAATACACCCATAAACACCTATTATTAACAGACATGTACAGTTGGGGGACATGTCCCTGCAGTTGATGTCAGTCATTGTTTTCAATGTGTATTTTCTCATTAGGTCTCTTACTCAGTATTGGTGTGACCAGTGACTGACATTCAAAACACTGTAACACCTGTCACATGGGAATGACTCCAAGTCTCACTGGTACCGAGTGACGCTTTCACTGACCACTGCAATTGATATGAGCACTGTTGTCACTGGTGTGTTTGAACTGCTGACCTTCGCTATTTAATAGATATGCCAGCTGATTGCTTGTAAATATGGTTGCAGTCTGATAGGGCGCTCATCAAGTTTTAGACTATGTCGTCCTCCTGTGTTTAGAAATGGTAACTACGGCATCGTTTAAATGTTTACCAGTTGCAATACATTTTGAAGGTGTGCATTTGATGCCTTACATTAACACAATAAATTAAGTCATTCTTCTTCTTCTTCTTCTTCTTCTTCTTCTTCTTCTTCTTCTTCTTCTTCTTCTTATTATTATTATTATTATTATTATTATTATTATTATTATTGTACTCCTGCTTCCAGAATGTTTCAATGTTCTTATGAGAGCTAAGTCAGATTTATTTTTCTATACTCAACATTACAGCGTTCCATTGAGAGAATATTTGGCACCATATCGGTCTAGTTTTTCCTCTTCCTTTTTTTTCTTTCCACTGAGAGAACACATCAAAGGAGTAAGCAGGAGAGAGTCATAGAAGTCAAAGAGGGAGGAAACAAGAGAAAGATTCCAGAAATAGTCCTTGATGCCTCGGCAAGTTTAACAACTTTATACATTTTCCCTATCCTCCTGCTTTGTGACCATCAAAAGCTTGTTTTCCACCTCATGCCTAAGGTGAGTTATTTTCTTTTATGAAGCATATAGTGGCACCTGCAACCCTAAATATTATAGGTATTAATTGTGGGGTCTCTAATCCCCTAAGGAGTTTTGTGGTATGACGTGTGTGATGTTGATTACACTTATTTTAATTGTTGTCTCCCAACTTCACTTCGACATATTTATATAATATGCCATGGACAATGTTTATATTACAAAATCTATTAATTGACAAGTATATATATATATATAATTTGGTCCCTGTTCAAAACGTAAAAAATCACTTTGTTATTATGAAAAATATATGTTATTATATATGTTTATGTTATTATAAAAAAGATTTGTTATCCTGCATGTTTTGTGTTATAATTCAGTAAGTAGGTTATTTATCAAGTGTGTGTTGTAATCTCAGAGGAAATGGTGAAGTTCTATTAAATTATAGTGAAATATTACAAATTTAACAGTTTGCCTGTTTGTACAATGATTTTAATATTTCCTACGGTACGCGAATGCAGCGCGTGCCCTGTGTTGCCTTCATGGTATCCTCTTGTCGCATTTTGATCCCGCAGCTAGCTGATCTGTAGCTTTTGTATCAGGATGGTGTCTGTGGTGTGTCACTGTGTTTTCCTTGTTTCTGGCTGAAAATATTTGGCATTTGGTGGCTTTAATGTCCCGTGCAGCTAATTTAAAAACCATCGGCAAAGCGGGAACCGGCTGGTAGGTTGCCTTTAAAAATCACTGAGACGTAGCATATTGTTTAGGTCCCCTCCACTGTGGTGGGAGAGCCGGTTGATGGCTAATACTGTTAGCAGGATGCAGTCTATGCTGTTCTGAATAGTGGATGCTTTCTTTGTCCCCATATTTCCGGCGGGGACAGTTGTTAAAACGCATAGACTGTGACACCGCCATCACCGAGACTTGTCTGCTATCAGTAGTTGTTAAGCTTTAATAAGTTTTCTGTATGCTGTGGTGGACAGAAAGCTAACGCTAGCCCGTGAAGCTAATAACAACCAAAGTCGGTTAGTAATAATTAGATAAACCAGTTTTGACAAAAGGGATGACGACAACAAGACAGCCATTTGTTTTAATTAACATTTGACTTGTGTAGCAAACTCATGCGGAAGTGTGATTAATGTGTTTTGTTTTAGTGATCAGTAATGTGTTATAAAATGTTGACTGTCGTTTATGCAGAGCTGTTGACGTCAGATTGCAATCAAAGTTAATTTCCACCTATGCTCAGCATAGGTACAATTGGACATGTGTAACGGTAACGAGAAATTAGGTGGTCATGGTGTATTATATCAATTAGGATATGAAATAGTTGTTGACTATTGCTCATGTAGACCTATTAAAGAGCTCTAAAATTGAAAATGTTACAGTACAGTACACAAATACTCGTCCGTAAATTTAGCTACGGTTCACCCTGGTCTTGTGCTCGTCTATCTGTAACCATGTTATTTTACATATACCAACATTGCTATTATTAACATACACACTACTTTTATTCCCTCTATTTTAGGCACTTTCGCCGGACAATGGACGAGCTGGTCCATGATTTGGTGTCAGCACTGGAGGAGAGCTCAGAGCAAGCTGCTCGTGGTGGATTTGGGGATGGAGGAGACCATGCCTTGGCTGTAGGCTGCTTGCTGAAGAGACAGGCTCGGAAGCGCAGGGGTAGGAAACGTCGCTCAGACAACCCACATCCACCCTGGGAGACGGGCCATCTCAGTGAGGGCTCGGAGTCCAGTGTGGAAGAACATAAGGTAAGGTGGTGTGACAGTGTTTCTCGCAGTGCCAGTTCTTACTCATAGTTATAGCACATAGTCAATAAACAAAACATGTTTTATAAGGTGTGGTTAAATGTCTTAACCAATAGAACAAATATATTCATTGGCTGACAAGAAAAACTTTATCTATTAAAATTATTCTTAGTCATCAAATAAAACTGAAGTCATGAACTTCAAAAACCTCATCACCACAAGAGAACATTAAATTGAGTTCTTCCTTTTTCTGCATCCATTGTCCTATACAATATGTGACGCTTTTCAAAGTTTATAAAACACTTTTTATTTCTTTAATTCAAACTGCTTTCTTGCTTTTGAATACTTACTGCGTAATATGACATTTGTTGCAGGACTACCGTGCCAGTGTAGGAGGTGTGTCTGCCACCAACAGTCATGCCCGAGACAACAGTGACTCTGATGAACAGCTCGGACCAAAAAGGAGAACACCTCTGGCATCTGACATGGGAAGAAGCAAGAGACCGCTATGGACGGACGACCTCAGTGTTCTGGGATCTGCAGAGGGAACTCGCAGTCTTAGACGGCGACGTAAGGTCAAACGTATGGCTGTAGACCCACCTGTGGAACCAGAACCCTCCTCCTCGTCCTCCACCATGCTCGGACCTCCACCTGTTCCTAAAGCCCGGATTAGTGTAAGGCCTCAAAAACTTGGTTTGCTTGAGGACAGGGCAGCCATGGACCTCTGTGAAGGGGGTCTGGAAGGAAAGAACAGGTTAAAAAAGAGGAAACTGGCCACCCAGAGACTAGGTTTGGAGGCTGCAGACGAAGGAGTGGTTGTTGAGAGCGAGGACCATGTTTCCTCCCCAATGGAAGGGTCTAAAGACAAAATGGAGTTGGAGGAACACAAGGGCTCAGATGAGGAAATGAGTGACAGGTGGTTAGTGTTTCAATTTATTTTGTGTCTTGTATTTTAGAAGGTGCAACTGCTCTGTTTCTGCAACAGTATTCACAAGTATGTGTACAAGTCTGTAGCTCAGCAGGTAGGACTATTTTATATCATGATTTGATGCTGGTTTAAATTTGTTCTGCATTTTGTGCCCAATGACTTAAAATAACAAGCCTTTTTTATTCTTGCCTTTCATTGTGCAGTGAAACAAGCAGTGTCAGCAACAGCAGTGATGGTGGCCTTTACACCAATGATGAGGGGAGACAAGGTACTTAAAGTTTAATTCTCGTCATGAAAACTGTATGTACGTTACTTAACAGTTCTCAGATGGCAGTGGAATAGAAATTTACTTTAATCGTTGTGGAAATCAAAAAACAGAATGAAGTACAAATAAGGGTACATGTCACCCTCTACCCTATAAAAAAATGTTCCCCCCTAAAAAATAGGTTAAAGCATATAGCAAGCATGGACTATAGAAAATGCTGTTTATTGTGCGTGGTTTCAATCTCTTGTTTAAACATTTGACCCTATTTTACCATATAGGATAAGCAAAATGAGAGTGGGGTCAATCAAATTTAAAATGATTTCTAATCCTATTGCTCTTGGATTCACATAAAATGACTTGCCCTACACACAAATAGTACATGAAACAATTAATCATGCTTCTCTTTATTATCATCTGTTCGTCTTCAGCTGATGATGAGCAGAGTGATTGGTTCTATGAGGGTGAGCCGGGCTCCAGTACAGCACCTGGAGGTGCTTGTGGAATAGCAGGAGTGGTTCCCTGGTGGGAGAGGGAGTCGGCGTCACAGGAGCTGGAGATGGTTGATCCAGTATTCAACAGTATTCTTACAGGATCCTTTCCACTCATGAGCCATGCAGCACAGAGAGGTACAGTGAAGGCTAAAGTGTAATGTGATTACTGTACTCTTTCTGTATACTGCACTTTAACACTTAATGGTTAACGTCAATGTTTGAGACCCTTTCAACAAGGAAATGTGCAATGTTGTTGTTGTCTCACATATGAGCTGTAGGGGGCAACCATCACACACAGACAAACATGTTACACATATATCATTGGCTTTGTAAATTATAAATATACAACGTATATTCATCTATTAAAACAAATAATTCCAAATAACGGTTATTTTGCTGTATTTCAGGTTTTCAAGCCAGACTGAGTCGCCTCCATGCACACCAGCAGGTGACAGAAGCTGGCAGCTCCAACCCAGGTTTCAGTGAGAGACTGGGAAGACAAACCCAGGACTCCCATGAGTATGTAACTGAAATGTTACTTTTAAAGTATCACAAGTACTTCATTATGACATTTTGTAAGTGTTTGTTGTTTTTTGTGTCTTCTTATCAAAGTGACAGTTAGCTCTGGATGATTTTATTGAGTTTATTTGTGAGTATATAAGATTTGCACCTTAACCTCATGTGTGAACCAGGAGGGGTATGTCGTCTGCCAAGGTTGGTCAAAGCCTGTCCTACTCAACGGGGGTGCACAGCTGTAACAGCAGGAAAGCTGTTAGTGCTCTGGCCAGGAATGGCTCTGCCAGAGTGTCATTACTGCCTGGCAATCTTTTCATTGGCTTGCTAGATATAATTTGGAAAGGAGAGGAGGGCAGCCAAGGGTTACATTTATGGTACTTATTGAATTTCAGGGTCCTAGTGACATTTATTTTCTTCACCAGGCCTTGGTATAGTTCTGGTTCAAGAAGAGATCACGGACAGGTGAGTTGTATGTGTTTGTGAGGTTTTTAAGTTTGTGTTTGGATGTTACTAATCACTGGAGTAGGGAACATCACTCTGAGTGTTGCTGAACTAAGTCATTGTGAAAAGAAAATATAAACAGTTCTACCGACAGTCACACCCCTCTGTAAGTTTTTATTAGTACATGTAGTACTCGATGACTTTGACTAACAACATTTTGCGTTGAAGACGGCCAGATGTCCTGTTAAATCTCCTAACGTGAAAAATGTATCACTTGCCAACTGCTTGAAAATTAAGAAGCTTTTCCGCTTCAGCTGCACTGGGACCCACGGACAGACAGGGGGCATCGGAGAAGCTGTTCGGTAAAAACAGCCAGCAGGTAAGAACCGCAAGTAATTTTAAACACCTCCGATTCATTTCCTTTTACTACCTCTTTCTGTCTTTGCTGCAGTCTCAGCTCCCTATAGGCTTTTAGTGGTTGTGTTTCAAATGAGTTCTGATACTCCGCATAGTGTTATTTGAGATCACACTAATGCTGATATATTTTTGTCCTGCCCGGGTGATTTCACAGACAGACCAGCGGGCACCTGGGCTCGCTGTGTACAGGAGATGTCAAGCGGCGGCGAAAAGCAGCACCTCTCGGTTCCACTGGCCCCTCAGGTATTGGATGCACACCTCGATACACCTAACATGCCATCTGGCACTTATCGCCAAGTGTCCCTTTTATTGTATTTTTGGCTCTCGTTTCTGTCAAGCTTCTCTGCCCATTTGCTCAAACTCAGTATGTTTTCCAACCTGCTCTTGTCTCTGTTTGTCCCACACATAAGCCTGAAAAGTACAGCCTGAATAAAAAGAAATAAGGCTCCAGATCACTAATGTTTTTAATTCATCCTAATGCCTTTTCCTTTACCTAGATTTAATCCAAAACCTGGTTTCTTTCTTAGCTTTACTGAACAGGTGTCCACTGCCATAGTCATGCCTTCAGTGCAGAGCTACTGGATTATCTTAAGTGATTTAAACTAGTACTGCTACTTCAAATGGCTAGGCTGGACCTTCGAGTGTTGGTAAAAATACTGTCTTTTCAATCTCCTTACTAAGCACAAACAAAGGTGTCATTTGTGAAAGTTGATACTTGTGAAGTACACAGCCAAAAATAACCAATATAAACAATGGCTGGAACCATATTTTTTTCTCCTCAGCATCTTTCATTGTGTTGACCTAAAAATTGCGTCTTCTAAGGTAAGGCGTGCAGAATGGTCTATTGGCAGTGTACTGTAGTATCAGACTGGCTGCAGACTGACATCCTGACAGCTTGTTGTACGTTCATCATGGGCCCATCAATCATGTGTGTAATGCTGCTTCACCCAGAATTCTAATTATATGGACAGAGTTACGATGAGAGAGGACAAACACCTGTCTTTCTAAGACATGCATAGGTGTCCCTTATTACTCGGATTTATGGTCTTCAGGGAAGCTTAACAATTTGAAAATGACTGATGAGGTCACTGGGGGAATGTCATAGACAGAGTGAGATTACTGGGGCTGCACAGGCACAAGTGTGTGAAATGAGAATGTGCATTTGAGATCTGAAATGACAAAATCACAGAGAAATTGATTTCTTTTGTTGGAACCATACCTAAAAATAATCTGCTGTTACGTGAAGGCATAGAAGGCATACAGACTTTAATGGACAAGTTGGAATTCTGAACTTTTGCAACTTTTGTAACAGAGAAAATATATATGCATTTTTACTGTATGTTATTAAACAAAAAGAAAAACTAAAACACCATTTACCCTACCTTCTCTTTTCAGGTGTTGTTGGTGAGAATGCTCCTCCCATCCCAGATTCTAACTTGGGAAACCGCATGTTGCAGGGCATGGGCTGGAACCCAGGGATGGGCCTAGGTCCGGAGGGCAGGGGTATAACGGAGCCCGTCAGAGCCACGCAGAGACCCAAAGGTGCAGGTCTCGGTTTCAACTGAATGCCCTTGTCCTGAATCCTGAGATCCTGCAGCGTCATCAGGACCCTCTTGGAGCGACCTGGAGATCAAATGCTGCTCAGGGTGATAAACAAAGTAAAACGAAAAGAACTCACAGAGTTACCTGGACATATGAGCCAACAAGCATAAAGCAGTTAGGCCTGTCCTAACAACAGAGTCTGAGCTGGAAAAAGAAACTTTCCCATATTGGGGAAACTGCAAGAAGATTGTGTTAATCTACACAGACTTGGGATGGATTGACGAGGGCAAATACTTCTTGCACACACATCTTGTTAGTAAACTCCATGTTGGAGGCTTAAAAAGATAATGATGGCTTATTGGTAGTATGTTAAGCTGACATGCATTTTCAGTACTGTTACCTCACCAGCGTTGCACACTTCAGTAGAAGCGAAAGAATAGGAGTTCAGCCCAGATGACGGAGCTGTTTGTTTGCCGGTGGTATTGTTTGGTTTCAGTATTTGAATGCAAGGGGTTTTCGAGTCAGCTTTACCTCAGAATTTATTTTAGATTAATTTTTATTGCGATGTGTGAGAGGATGTGTTTTTCCCATACATTTTTATCCTATCGTTTCATGGAGAAAGCCATGTCATCAAGATTTTTTTATCTACCCAAAACAGATAAATGTAAACAGATAAAACTCTAACTCATAACTTTAACATTGCGTATCACAGTGTGTAGCTGTTGATACTGCTGGTCTTTGCGGACTTTTTTGACATGTGACGGAAAGTCTAAATCATGAATTACCCGTTGATGTGTGTAGCTGAGACAAATGAGTGTTTTGCAGACAACTTTTCAAAATGACTGCCCCGGACACCCACACTGTAAAAAGGTAAAGTTCAGTGCTTCTTTATTTTCCTCTAGCTTTTCAAATTTCAGAGAAACTAAAAGAAAAGGTGCAAAATTTGAAAAGTTTGTTGAATACTGTATTAATCATGGGTTTTTACTTAATTTGTTAGGTTACTGGACTCACAATTTTAGGACTGGCAGCAGATGCATTCTGAAAGTGACATGTCAGTGCAAATTAAATGTGATGATGTGCAAAACACAAATGTAATTAAAGCATCAGCGGAGGCACAGCATGAATTACCTTTTTTTAGTCCTGTTTTTTCATTGTTATGGTACCTTTCATTTTCCTAGCAGCAACACTGAAACTGAAGGAACCAAACAGGACATTGTTACCATTCATTTGACTATTTTATCCTGCATTTTACTAGTAAAATATCTGATTTTGAAGCTCTCATGAACCCCGGCTTTAAGGTTGCCGCTAATAAATCAGTTGCTAGGTTGGTGTACAAAAGTGATCCATTCATGGTTACATTGGTATTCTTTAATTATAAACATACTACAATTTAAGGCCCAAAACGTAAATGTTAAAAGAACTGTCGGCAGAAATGTTCTCTACAATGCCTAAAAATGTTGCAGTAATAATTTGGCAGCATAAGCTACAACTTGCCTCGTCCCATTAGATGAATGAATGTCCCCTGAACCACATTGTAGTTTAAATTCATTAGTGATTTGTTAACCAGTGTGCGCTGACTTTGTAGCACTGCACTGAATCATACTATCCTTAAAGCTGTCTTCATTATTATTCAGTAGTCACATAAATACAAAAGCACACTTATGTTGGAATGGAGGGCAAGTCTACATCCACCTGTCTTTAAGTTTCTGCTGTATATATATAGAAAGTAAGTACATTGGTGGTTCCAGTTTTGCCAGTTAATTGCTTTTCCTCCTCATTATGTGCTAAAGATTTATAGGAAACACTAAAATAATTGTTAAATGAAAACGTTATAATTAGCTAAGCTAAAGAAAAGACCAAGTTACAAACCAAGCATTATTTATATGTAAGTTATCGTAAGTATTTCTTCACACAGCTTTTATAGCAACTATTCTACTACTTCAATAATTTAATGTAAACCCAATATCATTTGATTCTTTAAAAAATCTGCCGTTTTCAGGTCTGTTTTCTCCTTTGTGACTTGTGAAAAATTTTGACTTTTTCCAACACAGTGATGTTAATTGAGGTCACTAAATACTGTCAGCAGGACAAAAACAAGAACATTTGGTCCCACGGAGAGGAAGTTGTCCTATTTGCCCTAGTTGTTAGCAAACACAGCTGTTCCCAAACAAACCTAAGGGGGTATAGACCACTATTTGGCCTCTAAATGTGGTCAAAATATTATTACAAATGCCATGAAACATGAGGTTCATGACACCCCAGGGTGTGTTAGAGTACTGAGTGGCCTTGGCTAAACAATGTGAATGAAGACACATTCACATGAAGTTAATTTGTGGGATTGACAAACATTAAACTCACAGCAGTCCAATGGTCCACTGACTCAGAGAGCCACCAAGTCATAACTGTTAGAAGGAACATTCGTGTTAAACAGTTCCAACTTGGTCAACACATGCATCTTATCCATGTGCTGACTCAACATCACTGAAATATGAAGCCACACCACCAGCTCCCTCTCTCTTGCTCTCCTTCTCTCCCCCTCTTTTCTTTCCTTCTCTCTTCCTTATTTTAGCAAGGTTGCAACAACAAACCCTCATCTGTATCCATCCATAGAAATTCAGGAGTGCTGTGTGTGTCCTCTACCATCACTGAAACTCACCCACCTCCTCCTGCATGTGAGGGAAAAAACGCTGGCCGTGTCCTCTGCACACCTCCATCCCCTCCCCTCCACTACCTCATCCCTTTTAGACACACTTTTCTCTCTGACACACTCTCTCAGGACTCCCCTGCGAGCGAGCTGGCCAGGCAGGCAGGCAGGCAGGCAGGCAGGCAGGTAGGTGAACTCAGCATTGGAGTGAGATGCTGAGAGGAGAGAACAGAGCAGAGGAATGTGTGCTTTGTATTTGTGTGTGTGTGTGTGTGTGTGTGTGTGTGAGTGTGCTGCTGCTGCATCGCTGAGCTACAAAGACTGGAGGCAAGGAGAGCTGGAGCGTTTGTCCTTGAGACTGACTGACTGACTGACTGCAGCTGTAGAGCGGAGAGACCGGGCAAAAAAGAGCCAGCGGATGAAACTGACAGTGAGTACTGAGCAGAAGCAGTATGAGCAGGGGAAGGGGCAGGAAAGATGCAGGGCTGCTTTTAATTTCAGTAAATGGTCAAATGTGCCTTTGTTCCCATCTGCTGAGAAATAGTCTAGTGTGAAGAAACAGAGGTGTGTACACAGCATGTGTGTGTGTGTGTGTGCTGTACCAGGTAAAGTACTCTCCTCCCAGGTGAACTCATCTCTCAGTCATTTATTTGCTCCCAACTGTACTTACTTGAAATTTAAATTAGTTTCTCAGCAGTTTTTTTTTTTTTTTTACAGTAAATCATTTATTATGCCATTCTCCTGCAGCACTGTGTTTATGTGGGATGGACAGAAAAAAAAAGATGTCAGTAAACATAACATTACTCTTACATCTTGGTTGCTTCTCTCCGCACTCCGCTCTCATCCTCATCGCGGCGTTTGTTGACAGATCGATACTTATGCATCTATAATTGGACGTCATCCTTTATGGCGAGCCTCCAGAGCTACTCATTATCATGTGTAATCTTGCAGAAAATTACATTTTGACTGTTGTACCTCAGCGTGGCCAAGAATCACTGGACTGTGCCATGCAGGATAACCAGCTCAGGGAGGGGAAACTGTGAGATGCACCCGCCACCCGAAAAAAAGCCTGGAGACAGGGTGGGGTTGTTGGGGGCAATAAGGTTATTCACAAAAATCATGTGGCACCTCTGGTTGCATCCATATGATGAGATGAGGAAAGACAGGAGAGGATGCTAAGAATTTCCAAGAAATAGCTGAAGGAGCAGAAAAAAGAGCAAATAGAAAGAAAAAAACTTGGGAGAAATTCAATGAAGGAAATAGACACATATTGGTGATGATTCTCTCTCTGTGGTGAGGGATGGTGTCGTGAAATGAGAGTGGCTCACCTGTGGAGCTGCTGACAGAATGTGTTAGACCACGTTGGAGGGGTGCCTATGGATGAGTGGAGGGGAAGAAAGCTGGAGGCGGAAACACACAAAGCTGAGGTTGACAGTTTTCAAACAGTGGAGCTGTGTTGGTCTGAATGTTTGTGATGATGATTTGTTTATTGTAGACATGCTGACAGTCAGACGGAGAGCTAAATTTACCACCTGTGGAGATAAAAGTGATATGATGAGATAGGCTGTGTGTTTAGTTGATGTGTGTGTGTGTGTTTGGGGGTTTAAATAGTTACTGACATCAGCAGAATGTGTGTGTGCTGCTGACTCCCAGCTTTTAGTGCGTGGTGTACCCATGCTGGCGGCTCCTCACCTGAAATACGTCTGGGAGCAGGTGTACGTGTGTGTGTGTGTGTGTGTGTGTGTGTGTGCATGTTGTACATTTTGTTATAATGCAATTAAAATAAAGTGTGTAATTTGGTAATGCACTTTTTTGCACATTTAATGCACATTTATTTATAATGCAAATAAACAAAGATAAGATGAGTAAAAAATAGAAATATGTTTTACCACCTTTTCACCACCTCCTTTATTTTACTTAATAGATTATAGAAGTCAAATATAAATTCACAAAGTTTTCTTAAATTAAAGTGTTGTTGACCGTCAGGTTTTGAATGTAAGACCTGGATGGTCATGAGGATTCAGCAGTTGTTTCTGTCCTTGACCTTTACGCAGTGACAGTTTTCCTGATGCCATGAATATTTTCACAATAATTTTCTCAGCCTGTGGCGACAGCTCTATGTCCTGTACCTTATGTTTAGTACAAGATGGTGAACTATGATTGATGCCTTCCATAGACCCAGACTCTTGTCTATGCTCATTTTATACCAGCTACATAATATAAACCACACCCCTCTTATATACAAATATGCTATTATCTGTAATATATTCTCATATCTTCTATTTATTCTTTTTAAACATATGCATTGAGATAACTCTCCCAGTGTTACTCGTTACAGTCTTACATTGCTTCAATTAAAACTTAAGTGTTAAGTGTTGCAGGCAACAATCTGTGTTTTTATTATGTTAAAAATAGATTCAGGGTTTTTTTTTGTTTGTTTAAGTACTTCAAATATTTGCTTCGTCATTTTGCCTGAAGTCGTTCAGAACTCTACCGGACAACTTTTTATTTGTTACAGGATGTGCACAAATCCACACCGTTTACTTTAAAATTACAGTTATGTTTTATCACTCCCTGGGTAGCAGTACTGCGTTAGTTTAACTGGTGTGTTTGCAGTCCGATAGATTGTTGTGTAGTTTTAATTTAAAGGTTAAGGACAAACCCAAAGGTCAAGGAATACATTTGAATAATCCCAGAGTTGATTGATGATTTGGATCAGATGGATTTTGGCTGTGATTCTTGTCTAGCCTTTCATTAGACCCTCACTATAAACTGTACAGATAATGAATGGATAGATCGTGATTCAGAGACTGGTCGGCAAACTCGTTTGACCATGTACTGTATTGGGTTTTTGTTTTGTTTTTTCACAAATCAACATGGTGGACTATCCCTTTAATAAGCGGAGGATATTATTGCTTGCAGAAGTTGCTTGTTGAGTGTATAATTGGCTTTTGCTGTAGTCATTTACCTTACAGCATAACGACCAGATGTACAACAATGAAACACACTCTGCACTGAGCACGCTCCATTATCAGGATAAACTCTCCTGTCCTTAACTGCTTAGGTCTCTAATTGTGCTTTCACTTCATTAGCTATTATTAAAAAGTTGCTGTCTCTGTCTGCTTTAAATTTAAACAAACAACTCTCCTTCACTAGAGGGCAGTGCAGCCTAAATCAGCCGCATGAGCCTGCAACTGCACACTTATTCTTCGTGCATTTCAAATAGTCACCAAATGACCCTAAATTAGCTGTAATAAAATCCCGCCTGCCAGAGCGCCTTCCTGTGCATATATATTTCCCCCTGCGGTGACTCACTTCCTGCACAGTGGGACTGTAGGATCCTGAGATGAGTGAAAACCATTTGATGACCATTGACCCTCTGAGGATAGCAGCAGCAGCAGCCGCAGCAGCAGCAGCAGCAGCAGCAGCAGCAGGTCCCAGTGTCTCTCAGTGACATGTCTATGGTTATGCTGCCATAAGCTTCTCTCGGAGGGTTTCTAAGGTTACCAGCGTGGATGTGTGTGTGTGTGTGTGCGTGACCTCTGATCCCTACACACAGTGCTACAGATCAATAGAGTGAAACTGATCCGATTCCAAGAGCTCATGTGTCAGTCCAACATTTAATGTATCACTTCCCATCCATCCATCTACAGTAGCTCGTGTGTCAGCCATGCATATGCAGGGGACGGTTCATTTTCATTTCTCGTTGAGAGAATCTGTTATTTTCTTCCTTTTTGAACTTGTCTCCCTTTTTCTCTCCCCCCTTTCCTCTCTTTTCTCCCTCTCCTGCTCTCCTCTCTTTGTCTCCACTCTTTTGTAAACCATTTATGTGTGCAGCAGCAGTGAGACAGTGGTGTTTGCACACAGTGTCAATAGTCTTTTCCTCTGTCTCAGTAATTGATGGATGACTGTGAGTCAGGAATAAACTAAGCAGATTAAACAGACTGGATATGTGCCTTGATGCTCAAGAGTGTGTGTGTGTGTGTGTGTGAGAGAGAGAGAGAGACACTGGGTTACTGTCCAGTTTTTTGGAGTCAATTTGCACACCGTCTTCTGAGGCCTAGATTTGGTGGCTGTGAATTTAGGTAACACAGGGAAAACACACACGCACACACACACACACATAGACTGGTCTATGTGTGTGTGCTTCATCCCCATCTTTACTTTTCTTTGGAGAAAACTGGCTGCATCTGGTGTTGGGTCAATAGCTGGCAGCTGGCTGCTCTGTTATTGAGCTCCTGTCTTCAGTTCAGCCTCAGCAGTGTAAAAATAGTTTTGATGTTTAACTGCAGCCGTGTGTGTCCAGTTTCATTTGCAGCATTTAGATTCTTTTTGCTCATTTTTATTTGTTCTGGAGTTTATGCTTCGGCGCATATTTGTCGTCTGTGCAGAGTGAGTGGAAAGTCCCAGTGTCTGTTGTTGTGTTGAATGTAAGATGTCAATGATATTTTCTTTTACTGCCATTGGGCAGTTTTTAACTCTTCAACTGAGCGAGCTATTTTCTTTATGTCCTTTATTCTACCTGACATTAAATACAAGGTAAAGGCTGAGTAGAAAATGTTTTTTTTAATACTGCCCGTAAATATTTCTATGGTTTTTATTTATCGAGCAAACTGAAGTATCACTTTCATAACATTACATTACATGTACTGACAATCAAATGGCAAACAGAAAAATATCAGAATGTAAAACTTGTCATATGCAGTGCTTTTAACCATAACTTTAGAATAGTTTAAAAAATAGACAATTTTCTTTTAAAATATAAGAAAATAAACATACAACAATATTCATTCACTCATCCATTTACAAACTATGCATAACGACCTCAGGGTGGTGCTAGTGGTGCAGAATCGATGAGATCGTAGGCTTCAGTCTGTGGAATCCTGCCCTGAGCTTTAATAATCAATGTTTAGTACTGACTATTAAACAACTCTGTGATTGACAGGTAAAGCAGCGACCTGTTCTATTAATAAGTAATAGATACGAGATTAAGGATGTCCGATAATATCAGCCGACCGATATTATCAGCCTGATATTAGCATATTATGTAATATATATATATATATATATATAATGAAAATTATATAAAATTATTCTTGATTATTCCACGCTCGGGACTGTGTTTTTCTTAGGTTGGCTGAAAAACACTGAGCATAGATCAAGTCATTAATCTCTGATGCTTTAATTTCAACACACTTTTTCTAAGCAACCAATAAATTCACTGATGGCAAATTAAAATTCTCCGGCAGATTAAAGTCACTTTACTTTAACTTTAATTCTCAGTTTGCTTTATGGTTTGTTGAAGATAATTTAACGTGCTACAGTATCAGTTGTTGATTTGATATGATGAGGTTTATGTGTTTTATGGCTGGCGTAAAATTAGGGGATGTTACAAATCCCAACTCTTAACCGCACGCACCCTACTTTCTTCTGTGTGCACGTCTGCCTGCGTGTTTATTTTGCACACACGGCACGTCTGCGTTAATTCACTGTGTGTTTCGCTTTGGCTGCCTGCTGTATGCGGTGCATAATGAGATAAAGGCCACTCCACACAGTCTGCTGTCTGGCTTTTATCTAAGCAGCAGATTAGTGCAGGTGAT